ATTATTATTATTATTATTATTATTATTATTATTATTATTATTATTATTATTATTATTATTATTATTATTATTATTATTATTATTATTATTATTATTATTATTATTATTATTATTATTATTATTATTATTATTATTATTATTATTATTATTATTATTATTATTATTATTATTATTATTATTATTATTATTATTATTATTATTATTATTATTATTATTATTATTATTATTATTATTATTATTATTATTATTATTATTATTATTATTATTATTATTATTATTATTATTATTATTATTATTATTATTATTATTATTATTATTTGGCACGACAAAAGTATATTCTTTTCATCCTTAATTTCCCTTAACCCTCACTCTAGGGAGACCCCATATAGCTCAGAACCTCCAAAAGGAGCAAAAGTAAGCTTGCTTTGCACCCTGAGGGCTTCTTCTGCCATTATTTTAATAATATATCTCTTTACGAGAACAGTTGCCATCCAAGCTCTTGCAAAAAGATATACAGCCTTCAAGCTTAAATCAGTAACAAAGGTGGACCCTTTGGCAATTTCTTAAAGCTTTGGTGGAGTTTTAGGTTTCCATGGAGCAAAATCTCTTTCAGCCATAGGAATTAAAGATGGGGTCACTCACCTGCTACTGCAGTTTGAGACGACGGAATCCCCTAGAGATCTAAGCTATCCTATTGGGTTGCCATACCTAACTAAGAGCCACCAATAAGAGAAGTGGAGGACGAGGAGGGTCCCCTCTTTTTTGATGACGCATGAGAAAAGGGAAGAGGAAAAGAAGCATAAAAAATCCAATATGATGAACTAAGTGAAGCAAAGACAGGACCTAGACTGGAGTTCATCGGGTTTATCATTTATTGTCTTCCACAAGAAAGCCCAAGGCAGCGTACAATGTTAAAAACAATATAAAAACTGGAGAGGGGAAAAACAAACAAACAACAAAATAAAGGATAACATACATAAGAAGCCCAATTCTTAGGCAGTCAGACACTGAGACAAAGCATGCCTGAAAAGAAAAGTCTTTGCCGGCCTGCAGAAGGACAGCAAAGAGGATGCCAGCCCGCATCCCTGTAAAAGGGATTTCCATAGTTTGGGTGCAGTGCCCTTATCAAAAACACCTGTAAAGTAGGATAGAGAAGAAGGCTTTCCCTGATGATTAGGAAACCTGGGCAGGCTCATAAATGAAAAAAAGGACTTCAAATAGTTCGGACTCAAGTCACTAAGGCCTATGCAAGTCAAAAACAGCACTTCATGCCATCGTGATCATCATCTTAGAAGTGCAGAGCTGGAAAGGATCTTATGAATTATTGGGTCCAGCATCTGTCAGGGAGGTACAGCGAAGAATCAAACTCCCAAACAGTGGCTCCATAGCCAAATTCCCAAACCATTGAGCTATCCTTTGAGTTGTGCTCAGAAATAGGACTGCAGCCAGTGCAGCTGGGGATTTATGTGCTCCCTAAAGCATGTAGCACTGTAGCCAGGTCAGACATCTCCATGAACAGGGGCAGATGGCACATTAGTCTTGATTGTGCAAAGGTAACAGGAAACCGCCCAAGAGCCATCAGGAAGCCATTTCGATCCATCAGCATTCTGGAGCAGATTATCCCCCTGCAGAGGACCTGAGTTCGAGTGACTCTAAACCCCATCAAATAATGGTCTGTCCATGACAATGAAGCCTTCTGGAGCAGATTATCCCCCTGCAGAGGACCTGAGTTCCAGTGACTCTAAACCCCATCAGATAATGGTCTGTCCATGACAATGAAGCTACAGAAAGTCAGTACACATCCAGATCATCAACACTTCTCCCAGTACAGAACAAAAGGTCTGAAGTGTACCTTGTGACATGCGTGGGGACAGATACCATTTGGGGCAGACCTACGACCATCAGATTATCCCCCTGCAGAGGACCTGAGTTCCAGTGACTCTAAACCCCATCAGATAATGGTCTGTCCATGACAATGAAGCTACAGAAAGTCAGTACACATCCAGATCATCAACACTTCTCCCAGTACAGAACAAAAGGTCTGAAGTGTACCTTGTGACATGCGTGGGGACAGATACCATTTGGGGCAGACCTACGACCATCATGCAGGACATGAAGTCTTGAGCCACTCCTGACAAAGCTGTCTCAGCACACTGAAGTTCTCCAACACAAGATGAACAGACTCCAATATTACTTCCAAGACCAACTCAGCAAGCTCAGAAAGGGACACTTGTTGAGCAGCAAGGTACACCAGTAAAATCTTTATTCTGTCCTGGGCTCCCACTTTGTTACTGTTATGATATGAACATTCAACCCAGAAAATTGGGCAGTATGACACTTGGTGAGAGGGACATAATCTTAATAGACCACTGCCAATGTTGCCTTCCTGCATCTTGCTTGCTGCTACACAGAGAATCCTGGTGGACAAGTGATATTATACACACAGACGCACACAAACACAACCTCAGTATTTATTTATTTATTGAATGATTTGATTTGATTTGATTTGATTTTTATCCTGACCATCTAGACGAAGAGTCTATTCTGGGCAGTTTACAAATTTAAAAACAGTAAAAACCAAAAAGTCCAAAATGGCGAACTTTAAATAATTAAAATATGGCAATTAAGATATGGCAGGAGGGAAAGCCTGCCCAAATAACCAGGTTTTAAGTTTATTCCTGAAGACACCCAGAGAGAGAGCCAGGAGGATCTCCATGGGCAAGTTGTTCCAAAGGTGAGGGGCCACTGCTGAGAAGGCCCTACTCCTTGTTCTTTCCTTCTGGACCTCCCTCAGCATTAGGACCCTCAGCTGCCCGGCCTGGCTGGAACGAGTGACTCTGGCAGAACTGGGTGGGAGAAGGCGCTCTGCCAGATATTGAGGTCCTAAACCATCTTGGGCTTTATATGTCATTGTAAGAACTTTGAATACAAATGAAGTTGGCAAAGACAATAAAAACAGACCCTGTTTCAATAAAAAAATTCTATTTTCTCGTTGTCCAATACTTTTGAAGCTATATATTAACTTACCTGCTACAACAATTCACCACTGTCTGTTGAACCACTGACAAATTGACAACTTAATCAGAGACTTCCATTCCATTGTTATTTTTAACCCAGCAGTGGCCATTCATAACAGATAACAGGTAACAGCTGTTATCCATAACATATACTAGGTAAAGTCTCAGAAAAGTTTTAAATAAAGCAAATTACAAATTGAACCCAGGCAATAATTTAAAAAAACAACAACAAAATATAGCAAAGTTCCAAACACATGATAAAGCATTCTATCAATCCTTTATTTCTAGCACATTATTTACACACACAAACTATAGTGGGCAAATTTTACTGAAACAAATCTGCAATAAAATGGACTCCATCTGCAAGTATATTTTCAGTTATCATATGCCAGGACATGTCATTGCTCTTCTGAATAAGAGCTTGTTATCTTCATTCATGCAAATAAATAAATAAATAAATAAATAAATAAATAAATAAATGAATGAATGAATGAATGAATGAATGAACGAACGAACAAATGAACGAACAAATAAATAAATAAATGCTACATACCGCAATTATGTCCAGTGTATTATCACAGACTTTACGGATTTCGGCATTTTTATCATGCATCAGATCTATAAGGTATGCTGGAGCCTCTAGAAAGACACAGTCAAGGATCTAAAGAGATTCTGGATAGTAGGCTACACCATTTACCATAAAAGACATATAGGAATGTAAAAAGAACAAATACAGATTTCTTGACATCAACCAAGGTGCCTTATGGAGGACTTTTAGAAAAGGGCCAGTACCATTTTAAGCATGACAGAAGGACAGGTTACTTACCAGTAACTGTGGTTCTTAAAGTGGTCATTTATGAATTCGTTTGTGCCTGATCAAAATGATCCATGAAGTTTCCAGTCTCAGAGCCTTTGAATGGCCAGTCTTCACACACACCCTGCCCTCCTTAATTCTCCACAAAGAAAAAAACAAAAAATGTAAGGCAGGATAAGTGCAGGGGGGTGAGTGGCTTGTGCAAATTCATACATGGGTACTCAGAGAACCCCAGTTACAGTGGTATCTTAACTTTTAGGGGGGGAAAAGGGCAGGAAAGGAGGGAGGGAGGGAACACCTTTTAAACACAACACCTTGAAAAGCACCTTTTCACTCTTCTTGACCCATGGACCAGAGCACACCAGGCCCTCCTGTCTTCCACTGCCTCCCGGAGTTGGGTCAAATTCATGTTGGTAGCTTCGGTGACACTGTCCAACCATCTCATCCTCGGTCGTCCCCTTCTCCTCTTGCCTTCACACTTTCAGGATGTCCTACCAGTGAGCACTCAGGGTTGATTTCCTTCAGAATGGCTAGGTTTGTTCTCTTTGCAGTCCAGGGGACTCTCAAGAATCTCCTCCAGTACCACAATTCAAAAGCATCAATTCTTCTGTGGTGCGCATTCTTTATGGTCCAGCTCTTACTTCCATACGTCACTACAGGAAAGAAAAACATAGCTTTGACTATGCGGACTTTTGTCGGCAAGGTGATGTCTCTGCTTTTTAAGATGCTGTCTAGGTTTGTCACTGCTTTCCTCCCAAGAAGCAGGGGTCTTTTAATTTCGTGGCTGTTGTCCCCATCTGCAGTGATCATGGAGCCCAAGAAAGTAAAATCTGTCACTGCCTCCATATCTTCCCCTTCTGTTTCCCAGGAGGTGATGGGACCAGTGGCCATGATCTTAGTTTTTTTGACGTTGAGCTTCAGACCGTTTTTTGTGCTCTCCTATTTCACCCTCATTACAAGGTTCCTTAATTCCTCCTGACTTTCTGCCATCAGAAGTGGGATTCGTCCAGTCCGGCCTTTCACATGATGTATTCTGCATATAAGTTAAATAAGTAGGGGGACAATGTACATGCTTGTCATACTCCTTTTCCAATTTTGAACCAATCAGTTGTTCCATATCCAGTTCTAACTGTTGCTTCCTCTCCCATATATAGATTTCTCAGGAGATAGATAAGGTGGTGAGGCACTCCCATTTCTTTAAGAACTTGCCATGGTTTGTTGTGGTCCACACAGTCAAAGGCTTTTGCATAGCCAATGAAGGAGAAGTAGATATTTTTCTGGAACTCTCTGGCTTTCTCCATAATCCAGTGCATGTTAGCAATTTGATCTCTAGTTCCTCTGCACCTCCGAAATCCTGCTTGTACTTCTGGGAGTTCTCGGTCCACATACTTCTGAAGTCTGCCTTGGAGGATTTTGAGCATAACCTTGCTAGCATGTGAAATGAGTGCAATTGGATGGTAGTTGGAGCATTCTTTGGCACTGCCCTTCTTTGGGATTGGGATGTAGACTGATCTTTTCCAATCCTCTGGCCACTGCTGAGTTTTCCAAACTTGCTGGCATATTGAGTGTAGCACCTTAACAGCGTCATCTTTTATGATTTTAAATAGTTTGACTGGAATACCATCCCCTCCACTGACCTTTTCGTTAGCCATGTTTTCTAAGGCCCACTTGACTTCACTTTCCAGGATGTCTGGCTCAAGGTCAGCAACCACACTATCTGGGTTGTCTGGGACATCCAGATCTTTCTCACCTGAACTCATGGCCAGTGGACCTGCCGGCCCTGTGATGCCTGCCTCCCTTCACCAAGGATGTACTTTTCTGGCAGTGAGGCGGCTTCAGACTGGCTGCTCGAGTGGCAGCCAAAGGTCCCGGGGGGGGGACAGAGGCGGGGAGGGGGGTCAGCCACGGACAGCGAGAG